CAAACTGAATGCAGCTTTTTTTTGTCTTTTGTTCGAATTGTGGGTGCTAATTTCCACCCCTGGCTGTACCACAACATCACATTCAATCCCAAATGAGATCTTCTTCCAAATGCCACCGTAATAAACATAAAAATCATGGAGAAGTCCACATGATGAGTAACAGGACCAGATTTCTAATCTCCAAAAGTGGGGAGCCCTTCCCATACTGTCATATTGAGTTGAGTGTGTCCCTAATGAACACCATTTACTCATCAAAGGAGTTCATCTAGGCATCATTTTTGCTAATTATATCAAGCCAAGAATAGATTTTCCAATACTTATCCTTAACTTGTCTATTTAACAAATCTAAACTGTCAATAAAATGTAGGGATATCAATAAGATCTGAAATCTAATTTGTGAAGTGTTATCTTCCATTCTTGCCATTTTCCACCATTTTGCAATATTCTAAATCTCCTGACGTTTGGCAAAAACCCATATGCAGGTAGATGCAGGTAGATGCCAATCAGTACCTGTATTTGTACAACTGTGCTATTAAAATTTCTCTCAGTGTTAGATTTTTGAATACTATAAATTTGCATGTTCCTTTTATCAACTGCAGCATTTGTTGTGAGTTAAATTTTCTGAAATACCCAATTGGAATAGGATCTCATCAGGAGATTTGAGGTGTGGTCTTTTCTATGTGCATCCATATGTTTTAAAAATTTTATTTCTCCAAGAGAAATGTTGTCCTTTGATGGTTGGCTTTTGCTTCCCCTGATTGGGTTCTGTATCTAGATCTCTGGAATCACATATATATGAGTTGCTAGACCCTCTTGGTTCCTCATTCACCAATTTTTTTGTTGGGGACTTAGTTGGGGTATTTGGGATGTACATCTCAGCAACTTTCACATCTCTCAAATTCACAGTCCTGTCCAGTGATGACCTCTAATGCCTCTTGAACACCATATTGTTAATATTGTTGCATTTTACAACAAAGCAAAAGTCAATAAAATGGTGGGTAAATGGAGAAAGTGACTTGACTAAAGCTATTGTAAGGTTTCATCAAATATTTTAGTAATTTCAAGTTTTCATGTTTACATTTTTTTGAAATGTGACTTAAAATGAAAGATAGAGACTATATTAATCTAAAATAACTGAGTTAAATTAACTAAGCAGATGATTAGTAATCATCTTATTGTGACACATATGTCACAAGGATTTTTTTTTTTTACAATGTGGAGTTTAATGCCCAATGTGACACAGGTGTCGCAGCAATATTTGACAGATCTATTCTATATCAAATAGTTTTAGAAATG